AAAAAAAAAAAAAAAAAAAAAAAAAAAAAAAAAAAAAAAAAAAAAAAAACAAACAAACAAACAAACACTTTACCTAATTTTACTATAAATACCAGCCTCCTAATCCTAACACTTGCATCTTGGAGAAGCAGCACGAACTAGGGTTTTGTAGCAAAATTCTTATCGGAGCTTATATTTCGTTCACTGCGCTTGTCATCTTAATAAGGTCGGGTTTTTTTTTCCTATCGATAGTTGCATTTTCTTTTTCTGATATGATGCATTTGTTCTACATTTTTAACTGTATAATTCCATAAATCGGGCCAGTCGGTTTGCTATTAAGTTTTATCGTTTTACGCTGGCTTCTTCTTTGAGTGGATTGATATGGTGAAAGTAGAATTTTTGGAGTAATTTGTTCATTTTTTATGGTCATTACATCATTAGGGCATATTTATTGGATGGGCTTCTTAAGGTTTCTTCTGCAAGGATATTTAGGCTTTGGATACATTCGATGACCATGTTTCTTTCTAATCATATTTGAATTTGAGCTTGGGTTGTAAGAAAAGTCAATTTACATTTTGGATTTCTGTTGCAGATCTAAAGGCAACATGGCAGACGATGAAAATCATAACGAGATTAAGGAGGGTATTAATGATGTGCACGATGTAAGTCTTGACCAAAAGAATAAAAGAAGTCATTGTGTGTCTGTTTTCGTCGTGGATAGTTGTATTTTTCTTTGCATTTATTTATTTACTTGTTTCTTTCATTTTCTCTTTCTTTGTAGTCAGTAGTATGGCTGCATTTTTTTGTTCTGTTGCTTTGGTTGGATTTATAAGCTTTGGTATGGTTAGAGTTTCTATCCTGTCATTTAAATTTGCTAGTACTAAAAAAATCACTTAGTTTTTATGCTGAGACAATATTGATGAATTCTAATTAGCTCAGAACTTAAAAAATTAAGTTCTTAAAAAAGTGCTGATTCTGATGAAGTTGTGAAGAAGAGATGAAAGTTGGTTGGGCTCTTTGGGCTGTAATTGATCTTTTACTAAGTTATAAAATGTAAGAATTAAAAGTGATGAGTTTACAGTTTTTTCATGTGATGCATGTCGAAGTTATGATTTTACTAATACTTAGCTTATTAATAAAAATGGCATCAGCTTTGTTTGGTTGCAAATATAAGTTCCTTTCATGTGTATTACTGAAAGGGATCAACTCATCTTTTAACTCTAGTTTTAATACTTAATGAAAGAGTAGGTGCCTTGTGTTTACGTAATTTTCTTAACCAAAGAGTGTTGATTCAAAATGTTTTACGATTGTGTTGCAGATAGCTCCTTTTGACCCCACAAAAAAGAAGAAAAAGAAGAAACCAGTACCTCAAGACCTAGCTGAAGAAGAGCCTGTTGACTCGCTAGTAGAGAAAGCTGAGAACTTATCAAGTATATATCTAATTAGGCCCACTTTCTATTTTAAAAAACCAATATATTGTTGGATTATTTGATTATAGAGCAAATCTAGTCTTACGTCGTGTTACCTCTCATGCAGTTTCTGAAACTGGTGAAACCTCTTTTGCTGGTCTCAAAAAGAAAAAGAAAAAGCCGGTCAGTAGTAATTCTGTGATTGTGTTACTTTACTGGACATTTCTTCCTTGGTTCTTATATTACATTTGCTGTACTGTTTCAGGCACACACTGATCTTCTGATTGAGGAAAAAGAGAATGTTGCAGAGGACTTGGATGGTAAGGAGTGTCCTTGTTTGAACCATTATTGTATATATGAGTTTTCTTAATTTTGCTTTGTATCTTGATATTGTAGATGTAGTTGGAGAGGATGAGGAAGGAGAAGGAATTGTTTTGCAACAGTATCCATGGGAAGGTACTGATAGGGATTATCATTATGAAGAACTTTTGGGGAGGGTTTTCAACATTCTCCGTGAGAATAATCCTGAGCTTGCTGGAGATCGGCGCAGGACGGTTATGAGACCTCCTCAAGTTCTTCGTGAAGGGACGAAGAAAACCGTTTTTGTGAATTTCATGGACTTGTGCAAGACGTATGCATTTATTTCTTTAGTCTAAATTTAAACGGCGTTGTGTGTAGCTATTACTTGAATTTTCTGGTAATGTACATAAAATTCGAAAAGGGTTTACACTTTTGCTCAGTTGAAGTCCTTCAGAACTAAAATGAATTTAATGTTGCTTGAGGAAAATTGGTTTTGACATGTTTATTTTATCACATTTATCTTCTTTTTCTTTTATTTTCTTTCTTTAAATCTACTCTCTTTTAGATATTTGTATTATGTGATATTTTCATGTTTGCACCTATACTGATTAGTAACTTCTCCATTCGTTTTCTGTTTTTGTAGGATGCATAGACAACCTGAGCACGTCATGACTTTCTTGCTGGCTGAAATGGGAACAAGTGGGTCTCTGGATGGACAACAAAGATTGGTTGTGAAAGGGAGATTTGCTCCCAAGAACTTTGAGGGTATTCTGCGACGCTATATCAGTAAGTCTTTTCTTCGAAACTATATGATTGCATATCAATTCATTACATGGTGTTGGGATTATAGGTCACTAATACTTATAAAATTATATCGTAATTTAAGTATTTTGTGTTGCACTTGGTCTTCAAGTATTATAAACGATTGTGCCTTACAATATTTGCTTCCTATTGGTATCCGCAGATGAATATGTCATTTGCAATGGCTGCAAAAGTCCAGATACCATCCTCTCAAAGGAGAACCGTCTTTTCTTCCTCCGATGTGAAAAGGTACTTTTTCTCCCAATCACTCAACTCGAGTAATATTCTGTTCCGTGTGTGTTAAAGCTGTATTGAACTCCATGTGGATGCATATTTACCTTTTCTTGAGGCATAACTTGCAAATTCTCTTGCAAATGAAAAAAAAAAACATTTACTTGATTTCACCTGGCCTGTGATGATTTAACATTTGCCTACATTGTCTGAATGACTTCATCTTGAATGAGACACTTAATATTTCTGAGGCCTTAGGTATGATAAGATTTATATGAATTGCCATTATATACTGTACAGTTCATGTTTACTATTTCTCCCTATCACGCAACTCGAGTTATATAATGTTCCGTGTGTGTTACAGCTTTATTGAACTCCATGTGGATGCATATTTTCCTTTTCTCGAGGCGTAACTTGCAAATTCTATTGCAAGTGAAAACAAAAAAAAAAAAAACATTTACTTGATTTCACTTGGCCTGTGATGATTTAAAATTTGCCTACATTGTCTGAGCAACTTCATCTTGAACGAGACACTTAATATTTCTGAGGCCTTATGTGTGATAAGATTTATAAGAATCGCCATCAATATACTCTATAATTCATGTTTCTTTTCTTCTCCCACTCATCCTTGATCTGATTTCAAAAATTCTATTAACCAAAAAAAACAGCCTATAGTTGTGTATGCTAATAAAAGGTGAGAAAATATGACATTTTTGTCCTTCAAACCTTGTAGTGTGGTTCTGGTCGATCGGTTGCTCCAATCAAGGCTGGATTTGTTGCTCGTGTTGGCAGACGTAAAGCCGGGACATGATAGCCCGGGGGCCAGCTGGCTCTTGGAAGTTTTATGTTTTGATGTGATGACCTACTACAATTTTTTTTCCCTTTTAGTTGATAAAAAAAACATCTAGTTTCTCTTTTTATTTGGGAGTGTTTACATTCCCTTTTGATTTGTGCCTTTTTTTTTCTTCATGTGATTACCTACTTATCTCTATCAACTTTTGAGTAAATACTGAAGTATGGATTTGTTTGTGGATTAGAGGTGTGTGTAGTTAACAGTTTTGCTATGAAGCTATCTTTTTATATACAACAAGTAAATCATACCATATTTTCTAATTACTTAAATAAATATTAATAATTTATTAATATGGTATAGTTTATTTGTTGTATATAGAAGGTTGGTTCTACTTTAGAGCTAACTGTTGGCTTCATATCTAAATTGGTGCAGTTAATCTTGTTTCTTTGCTTTTATTTGGCCATTCATATTTGATCCATGATGGAGTGCTCTAGACGGGCAACATAGAACAATCTATGATCTTCTCTATGAATTGGTTTGTATAAGTGTGTTGGAATAGAAATGAAAAGCATAAATGGACAATTTTTGGGACAAACAAATAGTGAATCATGAGTTGTTTTATCTAATTTGTCATGGCAGCCGCAACGCTACAATTATTCAGCGGGCCCACTATCCCGTTGCGTTCAGCTCTTACTTTATTATTGTTTTATTTTTTTATTTTGAATTAATTGTTTAATCATATTATTATTCTTTTATGTATTATTTTATTTTTTATTTATATCACACTTCCCATAAATTCAATTTTTATCTATATCACACTTCTCAATATGTATCAATAATTTAAGTTATTTTGGTAAACCTAGACAATTGAGTATTTAAATTCAGTAATAAATAAAAACAAAGTATATTGTAAATTGTGAAAGTCTTCTTTGTAATTGAGTAATTGACATTAGATGTTTAACATTCTATTTAATTTTTGAAACCATTTTGTATAAAAAAGGGTTTCATTTGATAAAAATGTTGAGATAATATATTGTGACCATACTACTGCATAAAGTGGAAAAATGGTTGAACCAAAAATGATATACAACATTGTAATAAGTTTTGAAAAACTATTATACTTTACGTAAAATCTAACTTTAATTTTATAGAACTAATATGAATGTTAAAATAAAAAGTCATAAAAAGATAATACTGGTGTTCTGTAAATAAAAGTGGATATACAATATATGTTCAAGTTTATATTTAATAAAGGGACTTACTTATTTAGAAATATAACCAAATGTATCCCTCTTTAATGTATATAGTTTGTATAATTTTGATGCAAAGCTAAATAATATTAAATTTTAATAAAATTATAATATACATTTATATATAAATTTATTTCAAGTTATTAAGATTGCATCAAATATTACAGTTATTACACTGTCTTCATACTTGGTCTTTCCATCAAATAAAATAATTATTTTATATTACTATATAATTTATTTACGTCAGTTTAATAAAGAAATATAAATTTCATTTCCAAAATGATTTGATTTTTAGTAGGAAAAAAACAAAAATTATTTGGCGATTTTTTTTTTAAATAAAATATCTATAGACAACCTTATCCTTAATAATATATATTATTGATATTATAATATAAAGAAAAATTACAGGTGTCACTATTTCAGCTATGACCCAAGTCAATATTGATACACACAACACTTTACATATGTGGTGAGCAAATTCTTTAAGAACTTTTTATGTTTAGTTTGGTGAGCAAGTATTTGAAAAGTTTGCACGGCAAGTTGTTAAAGCAAAGACAAGTGACCCTCCCCTCAGGTCATTTCCTTATAATAGCCCTCTCAAATCTCATTTTAGGAACCACATTTGGATGTTCAAAATTAATATACATATATATATATATATAACACACATGGCTTTCTATTATAGCAACTTAGAAAATATTAGTAGTTTTTTCATTTTTGTGCTTGTGGGTTGTTAGCTTGTATAAAGTTTCATATGGTTTTATCGGTCGAAACATATGCAGAATCAGCTTATATAAGGTCGCGCTATAGAATAAACTTCGGACTTGGACCTGAACTGAAGTAAGTAAAAGTCCAACTGCAATATATTATTATTATTATTATTATTATTATTATTAAAGTCGTGTGTATGGGTCATGTGGCAATGTCCCGTGTGACACATGACACATACACATAACTAGTGAGTGACCATGGCAATAACAGTGTTTAATATAAAACTTACATTTTCAAAATTTTGAGGAAAGAATACTACCGTTAGGCCATCAAATTAGATTCTTTACTAGAGGTAATAAGCTTTATGGTAGTCCCATCATCTTAGTATTTTCTTAGTTGGTTCCTATGCTCAATAATGGAAATGCTTGTTCTCATCAAATCTATTTTTAATATTGATTTAGAGCTTTTGACGTCCGACCATAGCGAGACAAACAAAATGAGGTATGATTTATGATTTCTTAAAATTAATACGTTGGTAATCGATCGAGGCGCACATGTGTATTAAAAAAACTTCGGTTCAACGCTTTTATGATAATCAAGATATTCGAATTTCGATCGAAATGTGCCATTTGAAAGATTTCAGGACCAATTTTTTACCTAAGTAATTCTTATAAAAAAAATTCCAACTGTCGAATTTTGGTTAATAACCTAAAAAGAAGCACGAGATATTATTTGTCAGTCTGTTTGACTACTGATCAGAATCCATTTTCGCGCTTCGCTCTTTCGTTCACATCTCTCTCCACCTCCCTTTTTCCCCTCTCTCCTCTCCATTTTCTTATTGCCACACTTTTTCTATTCATCACTTAAAAAGATAAATGATGCAAGTGTAATGGGCCAACCGGATTCTGGCCGACGAAATCAGCTCCATCTTCTCCGGCTAAGTTAAGTCTCTTCAGAGATTTTTGATCCAAGAATGTCCAAGTTAGTTTCCAAGCTTTTCAAATTTGATCTGATTTTTCATTTCTTTTTGTTTTGTTTTGTTTTCTTTTCCGGGGTCCCTTTTTTATGTTAGATTCTTCCTTCTTCATTCTAAGTTTTATTATGTAATTGTGTTTTTGGTGTGGAAGATTGGATGACCAAATAGCATTGCTAAGACACAAACTTGAGTTAGAATTACTCTTGTTTAATTTATGTTATGTTAATGTTAGAGATTTTAATAGAAGTGGCAAATTATCTGTCAAGAAAAAAAAAATCATAATACAAAATTTAAAAATGGACATATTTTGTGAGTTAT